TTGAGAAGGATAGATAACACGCTGAGCAGTAGCTTGAGTATGAGCGATGAGTCTAGCATAGCTTATATTTGAACAAGTTTGAAGTTCATTGTAGTTCGGTTGTGAGCGCAACATACAACAATTTTTCACGGATTGGATGGTCATTAGCAGTGGCTTGGGTGATCATGGCAAATCATTGGGGATGGGGAGGTTAGTTTACGAAGTCTTTTTCCGTGGACATAATAAAACAATTCAAGGTTTGATTGCAAAGTTTATGGATCATCCTGCATGGCAGCCACTGGGCAGGTTGTCATATTGCGGCTACATCACGCATTTCTTTCTTATGCGCTACATCCACAATTTAGATGACCGACCAACGCATTTCACATCGCTTTGGCGCATGGTATGTCATTCAAATAAGTCTGACTGCTTTTGCTCATTGTTACTTTGCAGTACATATACATGGTCATACCTACCATAGTTGTCTCCTACGTGTTCTCATTTTTCTGGAGCTGCCTATTTGAAATACCAGTTGTAAAGTTAGAAAAAATGCTGACTGATGGACTACTTCCGAAAAAAGCGCCCACTGCAAAATCTGATGTTGAAGAAGGAAAGCGTATGGAGCCAGCCAAGATTGAAGTGGCCGAACCAAAAAGGGAAATGCCTGAGTCGGGAGGTAGAAATAACCGACTAAGTGGCATCGAGGAGAAGGCCGAAATTCTCAATAAGTGAGAAACTGAAACAAAGGAGCTGCTCAAGTTTGATCTTGTTCCCATTCAAGTTGGGTCATTAAATGGCAATGTTTTGATGATTATGATTGATCATGCTGGTCTATGTTTGTTGTTTGTTGTTTTTATTCCAACTTATGGACACTTGTAAACGGTGCACTGAAAAGCGTTATCCTTCTTAGGATGAGAGTATAACTTTACGGATTGTAAAATGTAATCAACCCATCTTTGGACTTTTGTTACCCTGATGAATCGTCGACCGCAGTAAGAGATACTTTTGAATACTGAGCATAGCCACTGCTGTGAAAATGCTTGTGCGTTCCGAAATAAAATTTTTTTCAATCGTACGCACATTAAGGAGTGCAAATACAACAAACTCAGACGACAATTTCGCCGGTGATCCGCAAACAGCATGCGCCTGCATTTATCTCTGCCGGACGATCCACTTTCAACTTTGCCACTCCCTTTTCCGTTTATACAAGAGAACGGCGATTTGT